TCTGCAACGCTTTTTACGTTACATTTTTTATCCATTGCTGTCCACCAGACAACAGACACATATGTTAGAATTGGTCTAATAACGCTCATATAGGTCCAGTGTATCATTTTCTTTCTATTCATTCTACAGAAAGACTAGCATCTATGAGGCCCATCACCCCTTTGCTGTATGTGGTCTTTCCATTTAAGTTTCTTCCTTCCCCTAAGAAGTGTTATAACGTCATCTGCATAACAGACTGGTTCAAATCCTTCCTCGGTTAAGTTCCTTAAGAGTCCATTTATGGTAGTTACCCACAGGAGCGTTGACAAAATCCCCCCCTGTGGTGTTCCCTGACCTACCTCTGACAAGGACTGTAGCCTTTTGTAGTTGAGGAATGTCTGTTTTCCTCACCAGCTTGAGTTTTATTGTTCCATATATGGCTCCAATACTTGCCACTATCTTCCATAGGGCTTCTATGCTATTTGGATTTTCAAATTCCAGCATTATATATTCTCCTTTGAAAACGCAGCTATCCAGTTCAATAGAGTCCCCTCATTGTCGTAGGTACTCCATGATCTTGAATGCATTTAGCACTTCTTTATGGGTTTCCTTCTTTAGTTTCCCGTCGATCACTGCATAGCAGAGCTCGTCTCGATAGCGTTTCCTGGCAACCTTGGCATAAGACGGCGGCTCCTTACCATCTGTTGCTGTCATCTTTCTCTTTTGCAAATACCGGTTGGTCCTTTTGGGATTCCCGGTCTTTGCGGAAGATACCGACTCAGCACTCGTCTTCCTGATATCAGAGCCAGCTTCGTCTGCCCTCGTCAGTGGATTCTGGTTGCAGTCTCCTTGACTTAGCTTTATCTTACTATCGGTCGACGGAAAGCTCTTTTTCTTTTTTGGCAGATTTGACAGTCGCCTGCTCATCCGGAGACCTTATCCTCTTCGCCGCTTCCGGAGAAGTGAAGGTCAGGCTTATCCTTTTGAGCCTCTGTCTGCATCTCGCCCTTTTTGTTCATCCGGTTCATTCTGGCCAACTTCCGCCTTTGTGCCCCAGACAACTGCTTCTTCCTGGTTGTGAGTTTGGCGATATCCTTACTCACCTCCTCTATCATCTTGTCAGCCTCTCCTCTCTTCCGGCTCTACAAGACGGTTTTGTTTGTCTGATTCTCATGATCAGACTCAGAGTTCGAAGTTGAGTTCCCTCCTGTCTCTGAAGGCTAGGACAAGATTGCTCTTCCCTTGTGGTTCCTCAACTCCGAGTTGATGTTGCCAAGACACCCATATTTGTAGGAGATTGTTGCTCACGATCGCGGGATGACGACGGGGCGTGACTCGTGGGCAGATCAACGACACCCACCGGTACTGACTTATTTAGGCTCTGCACCGTAAGTATATTTCTTTTTCCATCTTTTGTTTTAGGGGAACACCCCCATAGTTAGTTTTGGTCCGCGGTGACAGAAGTCCTGGAGGTGGGTGATCAAACTATTCCATTACCTACAGCATACACTGGTTGTAATAGATTAGTATGATTATCCACCTCCCCGCTATCCGCCACCTGGGGAGTCACCCGGTAGGAGACTAATACCATAGACAGACGACAGCCTAAATTTGCATTAAAAAGTTCTTAATTTGAATTAAAATTTACCCCTGACAGACGAGAGTTTCTGCATTTATGAACCAGTTTTTTGTTTCAAAACTATTGTTTGTCTGTGTGTAGGAAGAAAATATTGACATTTCTTTACAATATTTTTTAGGATTACATCTTACATCATGGCAGGAAGGAAAACTAACAGCTATAATGAAGATAAAACAGCTCCAAATTTGAAGAAATGCTGAATTTTGCCTTTATTTTTAATTTTTATTTTCGTAAACGTAAACAAATTTGACAACAATCAATTTATTTTCTACAGCATTGCCATATTGAAATTGCTTAATTCAGTATAAATTCAGTTTGATTTTGTGCATTAACAACACATAAAAATGAGGATAATGTACAAGTTAATTTGAATTAAGGCTGTTAATGCAAATTAAGGCTGTCGTCTGTCTAGGCTATAACAAACTCCCTCGGGTATTGGTTTGATAGGCCTTTAAAAAAATATTATTTAAAAATCCACGCCTATCTGATAGTCCTTTCAAAAATTCTTTTTAAAACTCCTCGCCAATCTGATAATTAAATACTCTTTAAAAAATATTTTAAAAAATATTCTTTACAAATCCACGCCTATAGTCCCTTAAAAAATATTCTTCTAAACTTCACGCCAATTGATCTGATAGTCCTTTAAAAAATATTCTTTAAAAATTCACGCCAATTGGTCTGATACTCCTTTAAATTGTTTTTTTTTTTAATTCAAGACTATTCTTCTGTTAGTCCTCAAAAAAATATTTGAGTAAAAATCTACCATCATTGTTCAGATGGTCCTTAAAAAATATCGTCTAAAAATCCATGTTATGGTTCCGTCCTTGTTCGGCCATCTATTGAGCAACTGGTAACTCAATGAGCTAAACATAAACTCGCTGACACCTGGCGGACAAAATATGAACTACTGTGGTGTTGGATTATATCTTGGATGTTGTTTCAGTCGTTAGCCCTCTTGTGGACGAAATAGTATGAGTTTTATTGACGACCAAAACCACTTCAAGTGTTTAACACGAAATACAACCCTTCATACTTCGTCGAAATTATACGTTGTTTTTATTTTCGAATAATCGACGAGATTGTGTTTTTCCACATTGTATTGCATGCTTTTAGGGGCATCTTAAAATACATTTTAATTATATTGGCAAATTATATGAAGCAATGAACAGGCAAAATGAACACAACAAAACCTGTCGATTTGGACGGAATAAAATAATTTACAATGTGACTTTGAGCCGTCCCTCCACCTTAAAGTGAAATGTTTATTATTTTTGTCATAGTAGTTGTAATACCTTGAAATATTCTTCATGGAATGAAATTCTATGTCGATTTAGGCATGTCCGAATATCTGTTGAAATCACGATAGAGCTCGCAATATTTCAAATAAATTTTCGAAATGTTTGCTCATATATTGATATTGTTCTTAGAAGGTGTGTAATTTGATAATGGGATATATCGATATCCGATAGGTTTATGCTTGTATATGGAATCCATATAAGAGTGTCGCAAAAATGTCGTATTATTCCAATATTCTTGGATTGAGAAAATATAGTTCCATGTTTCGACATTTGACCCACATCAAGATAATCCCATTTTACGTATTTGCAAGGTCCTTTGAGCATTTTCTATCAAAAGTGGTAGAATATTTTCAGACACTCTTCAATATGGATCGACATCGGCGTGGCTATAAACCTTCGTTTCTGAAAATCGTTAGTATCAGTTCATGTTTTGAAATATTAAGGATCTTTTTAATAGTAGTCATTCAAAGGTCCTAGCCCAATTGTCTAAATTGGGGATCTGTAATTTACCAGTTCAGTCCTAATTTGGTTAAATACTTCTTTGAAATAAATAGTCAATAAATGTCCATTATTTGAAATAGTCCCTATTTAGATTTTTTATGGCCTTCTTCTTCGAAGAAATAATTCAATTTATGTTAATTTTTCCACTTTTTAAATGTTTTAGCCGCATTTTCATACTGATGTGGGCTCAATTTGACAATCTGTGTTCTTGTTGGGTTGAAGACTTCTTCGAAGAAAATCTTCAATATATGTTCATGGTTTGACATAGTACCATGTGGAGGTCCTACAGTATTTTAGCTTAAAGAAGGTTCTTGGAGTATGAACTTATTTCGAAGAAAATCGAAAATTCACATAAGGGTCCCGACCCAGGTTCGGCATGTTGATTATTATTGTCCAAATAATGCATAAAATACTTTTTTTCACAGAAGCTTCCCAATGGAGGATATGTCATCCTCCAAATAATGTTCCTGGTCTAATTTACGTACTTTGAAGGCCCTTGACACAAATTTTCCTAATGAAGTGCATTATATTTGACATTTCGGGTTCATGGTGAGTTAAAAAACTGAATTTAGATTCACGTCTTGACTTAGCATCCATAGAAAGGTCCCGCTGTATTTTATGGTTTCGGTGAGTCATTGTTCGATCTTCTCAAAAACTTTTCAATATTGGACGATGCAATTGGCATATGAACAATGTAAAGATCGAGCTCTCTATGTACGTGCATTTTCCCACCTAAGTGGCTGTAATTTGGCTTTCTGAGTTCTTGGAGGGTAAATAACTTATTCTCAGAAAGTTGTAATTGTGGGGCCTTGACATAGCACTCACATATACAGTTCTCGTTCAAGTTTTTTAAGGTGTTCGGGATTTTTTTTAAGTTTGGCATTCCAAGTTCTTGGTGGGTAAAAAACAACTTCGCCCGAAAATGTTTTGTAAAAATCCAAAGGTCCCAACCAATTTTAGATATTCTGATGACCCGCGATGCATTTTCCATTCGAAGTGTTTGTAATATGGCACTCCGGGTTCATGGTATGTAAAAAAATTACTTCGCAGAAAATTTTCAGGATTTGTTGGGTGCCTCATCCATTGTGCAGAGTATAAGGCCCAAAAATAAAAATTCCAAACATTGTAAGCATTAATTTTTAAAAATTTTCTTATATATCGTATATTTTTCCTTGTATCGTATTGTATACATCAAATATATTCATAATAAATTTGAAACTTATATTCTAAAACAAATAAAATAAATTTTGGTATAAACATCTACGGCAGAGTTGCCCCGCTGGCAGACGGGTGAAGAACGTATCTCATTATCGGTATACAAGTAAACTAATCAAGAATACCTATAACTGAGATACAAATATCAAATGAGGGGGTGGGGTGGAGGGGAGGTGTGTAATAAATCTTAAAAATACCTAAGATAGACAACTATTTACAAAACTTAGAAAATAATTACAAATATGTTTTGTTGTTAATTTCAAATTGTCAATAATAAATGTTGTTGGCAAGATAATCTCAGAATAGACAGATCACATTGCAGTCAATTCGTCGCTCAGTCGATCGATCAATCGATCGATCTCTCATTCGTTCGTTCATTCACGGCGGGTGATTTTTACACGCAAACCATCCTTGGGTCTCAAAATCAATTCACCCAACAAGGTCAAGTCTTCACGACGATCAACGGCCTCAATTTTGTAGTTACGCAATACTGTGGAGATGACAGCCTTCTCTTCGAGAATGGCAAACTTTTGACCAATACAATTACGGGGACCGGCACTGAAGGGTATATAGGCGAAGGGATGGCGGCCGGCACAGTTCTCGGGCAAGAAGTTGTCGGGATTAAATTGTTCAGGTTTGGGGAAGACGCGGGGGTTGCGATGCAGCATATAAGTCATAATGATGGCAGTGGTTCCGGCTGGTACGGTGTAGTCACCTGGAATGGGAATAAAAATCACATTAAAATTATAAATATTTATTTTTTAAGGGTACACTAATAATTTACCAATTTGCACATCTTCATTAATGGACCGACCCATCATTGGCACGGAGGGGAACAAACGCAGAGCATCCTTAATACAACATTCCAAATAACGCATATCCATAAGATTTTTCATGGTGGCTGGAGTCTCACGATCATCACCAAATATCGATTCTAATTCTTCAACAACACGTTCCTGATATTCTGGATGTGAACCCAACAAGAAGAGGGTCCATGAAATGGCAGCCGATGTGGTATCGTGTCCTTCAAACATAAACGTGTCCACTTCTTCGCGAATATCGGAATTACTCAATTTGGTACCCTCTTGCGAATATTCAATTAGCAAATCCAAGAAAGCCAAACGTTTCTTTTTACCCAAATCATCGTAAGCATCGGACACACTGTCATAATTGTTGTTGTTCATATTTTCACGCAATTCCGCTTTACGTTCACGAATCACCTTGTTCGAGAAGCCATGAAGGGTATTAATGTAGCTGGCGTGACGTTTAGCATCGGCAGTCATACGGAAAATGAAGTCAGGATGGAGCCACAATTTCGATTGACGGCTTTGTACAATTTCACCAATGCTACAAGGAGAAGGGAGGGAAAAGTTAATTATATTAAATTTTGAATGCGCAAGGAGAGAGTGGGTCGCTGAGCATTACAACAAAAGAAAAATTGCAACAGAAGTCGGTTACTGAGAAATCAGGACAAATAAAATATTTGGCAGAGATAAAAATTATCTGGCCGCCATTACTTCAATGACGTAACGAAACATTGTAGTATCAACGAGGCGAATCATTGTATAGCATGGGTCTTAGAGGGCCGGCTTTTACCTTGTGTCCAGGACGGACCCTCCTTCACAAAACCGTCTAAAATTCAAGCAAAATATAACATGTTAAAATCTATGAAAACTCAAAAGGTCTAATTATAGTAGGTTTAGGGGAGTGGTATTCGATTAGATGCCACTTTGGTTCCTTATTGAAGTTCAGGCTTACTTGACAAGTCCGTGTTCTGGCTCCACTCAATCACAAAACCGAACAAGATTTAAACCAGAAGCAAGATTGAAGAAAAATTGCCTCCTTAAAATCGGCCGATTCAACATTTCATAACATATACCATTCTCAAAAAACCCGAAATGCCAGTAAAATAGATGCCTTGACACTGAGGTTGTATTCGGTATAGGTGCTATAGGCGTTCAAAAGGATTAATGCCTTATAGATGTTTAGAATTATTTTACGAAGTTCATGGTTAACCTTAATCCCTTCAAGCTGAACAATAACAAAATAAGAAAAAAACTCCTATAAATCGGTCGATTCAAAATTTAGTCACCTCCACCATTCTCTGGAACCCGAAATGTCTGTTTAAATGCTTTTTTAAGATCTCCTCCTTGACACTCAGGTGGTATTCGATAAAAAAAAAAACCTATCGGTATTTGAACGGACGATTAATTCAATAGTGGTATCATATAGAAAAGTTCAGGCTTTCTTGCGAAAGCACATAATCTGCCGATCCAACATTTCATAACCTCCATGTTTCTCGAAAAATCCGAAATGTCTATTAGCCATTTGAGTCTATCGCGACGATTGGAGATTTAATAGTTACGTCGGTTTCATATTGCAGTCCAGCCTTTCTTGCAAATTCAGATTATAGAAGCGTTGAGGGTTGACTATCCCTTCTACATCCCTTCTAAAACCCGACCATTGCCTAATGGCAAATGGCAAATTATAGTCGATCAGTGTAAAAAATGTATGTACGCGAATTCTTGGAGGGTAAGAACCATGTTTTGGCATAGGCCCCATTATCGCCATTTCGTATGTTTTAGCTGCGTTTCCCCGCCCTTTTCGGTATTTTGAGGGTTTTTAGAAGAATTTTCCTATCGAAGTAGATATAATTTAGCGCGTCATGTTCTTGGAAGGTGCGAAATATCGATACAACCATTTTTTGTTTTGTTTTGATGTTGATAAATTTTTTAATCATAATCGAGGTTTTATCCGCATACGAAGTGTATGCAATTTAGCATGTCGAGTTCTTGAAGGATGAAAAACATTGTTGCAGAAAAAGTATGGTATAGGTCGATGGCTTGACATAGCTTCCGTTCTACACTATTTTCGGTATTTTGGCGGTTTTAATAATTTTCCTACTGATTTGGCTGAAATTTCGCCTGCCAATTTCTTGGTGGGTGAGGAACATCGTTGCAGATTTTTAATTTGTTCGTAATATAGATCCATTTTTTATCATAGTCCCCACATAAATGTTGCGCCCCATTTTCGGTATTTTCGAGGTGGCTGCCAAAAAAGAATGCCGAGTACTTAGAGGGTGAGAAACATTGTTGCAGAACATGTTTGGTCGATGTTTCCGTATAATTGTGCTGGGTTTTGGCCTAATTTCCCTACTTTTGAGGTGGCTGCCAAAAAGGAATGCCGAGCACTTAGAGGGTGAGAAACATTGTTGCAGAACATGTTTGGTCGATGTTTCCGTATAATTGTGCTGGGTTTTAGCCTAATTTTCCTACTGAAGTGTCCAAAATTCGGCATTCATGTTTTTGGAGAACTCACATATATCTATGCCAAAAAAATCACAGTAGGGTTTTTTACCTAAATCGAACCTCCATATAAACGTTCGCATTTCTCGACCGAAGTTGCATAAATATGATATTTCAGGTATTTTGATGGTATAAAGCATCGTTGCAGAGGTTTTTTATTTAATTCCGACATAGCCGCCATATAGAAGTCCCTGTCCCATGTTCGCCATCTTGATTATTTTAGCCGTATTACACCGCCGAAGTGGCCGCATTTTCATTCCGGGATCTTGCATTGTGAAAAACATCGATGCAGAATTTTTTTTCATACTGGGTCATGTTTTTACAGCTCCCATATAACGTTCCTGGTATTTTAATATTTGGAATTCAGGAGGTAGCTATCAAAGGTCCCTCTTAATTTCCAGTTGAAGTTCCTAGGTCAGTTTTCCAAACAATGTGTAATTTGTTCAGAGCACAAAAAAACTCGTTAACAGATAATTTACAAAGACATAGTTCTTAAAATTAAGATTCCGACAGGTTTAAGGAGTTTTGAAGGCAATCCACATTGTGGAAGGCCGGCCAATCTCAATACCCTTTTTGACTAATTTTAATTATTTTTAGTCACATCTACCTTGAGAAAGAAAACATAAATAAATAGTGCCATAAATGTTACCCTTGAATGTCTGAGGAAGAAACAAAAAATAAATTCCCACCGGTCATTAGATATTTCCTCTCTCTAAACTACCGGAAGTAAATAAATAAAACTAAACTAAATATCTATGCACAAAGTGTTGAAAAACGGCAACTAAATACTAAACCCAGCCTCAGTTTATGACTTTAATTAGCTGTGCAGACATTTTGTTGTTTTGTTTTTTTTATGATCAGCAGCCCCAATGTATTGCAATGATACAAATACAAATACTTACCCATAAACAGCCTTAACATAATCCGATTCACTATTACTTTGGGCATAAATGCTGCGACCCATAGCGGTTTCTGTAATAGAAGCAAAAAAATCAAATAGAAAAAACACACACACACGCAAACATACATTTGTCAAAAAATTTGTTTAATGGGACACAGACACCAAATAATTAGGTATTACAAGTGCAACAACGATTGTAATACACCATCGCCAACAATGACGATTTTGGTGGTCATCATCACTGGCTAGACATAATTATTTTTAGCCCTAGTCATGATTGTGATTTTTTCTTATTGTTGTTCATATCTTTTTTTGATATTATTTTTGTTGTACTACTTACCACACACAATATCCAGGGTACACAATGTCACATAGGGGAAAATATTAAATGACTCGCTGTCCAATTCACGCTCCAATTTACGTGTCAAGATGGCACTTTGCTCATTGAAAACATCAATGAAATCATCCAAGATTTTGAAATGGAAAGCGGGTGTCAAAATCTATGTGAAGGTGAGAGGGAGGAGGGTGAAGAAATAAATTGTCATTGTTAAAGTGACTTTTTGGAGGGGATTTATTTTATTTGCTTTACCTTTCTTCTGGAATGCCATTTACGACCGAAACTTGTCAAGAGACCAGTGCCCAACCAGGGTTGCAAATATTCATAATCACCACTTTTGTCAATGAACTTTTGACTGTTGAGAATGGGCTGAAAATTTAGAAGGGAAGAAAACAATTAATAAAATTATAAATAATATAATGTAATAATTATAATAAAGATTCTTAGATATGCATGAGGTATTCTAGCCCTTGTATAACGATAACGCTCGATCAATGACATTTTAAAGGTTTTCGACGAATTTCCTAACAGAATTGATTGAAATTTGACATTCCGGATTATTTGAGGTTGAGAAACATTGTTTAAAAAATTTTTGATATAGGTCAATGTTTGGACACAGCTTCCTTATAATGTTTCTGAGCAATTTTCGATACTTTCAGGATTTTAGGCTCATTTTCCTACTAAAGTGGCTATTATTGGGGGTTGAGGAATTTCGATTTCTTGCAGAAAATTCGGATTTCTAGCAGAAAATTTTTCACATATGTTTTTGTTCTGACATGTGCATGACCCTTTTTCGGGGGCTAGTATAAAGGTCATGCACCATTTTCGTTATTTGGAAGGTAAAAATACATTTGCAGAAATGTTTAAATATTAAGTCCACACAAAGGTCTCGCCACATTTTCAATGATTATAGCCACAAATATAAGTCGGTATTTCGAGTTTTTAGAGGATAATAGATCACTTGAAGAAAAATTGTATATGTTAGGTCGAATAGCCATCATACACCAATTTCACAATCGATTTGGCTGTAATTTAGCGTACCGGGTTCTTAGTGGCAGAATAATTTCAATATGGATTCATGTTTTAACATAAGGGCATTTCCTATACGAAATGGCTGTAATTAAACACTCCGGGTTCTTGATGGTTAAGGTATGGTATACAATTGTAGCCCCAATGTAGGTATTTCAACGAACATGCGAGCATTTCCTATCATTAATGGTTGTAATCAAGACTTCAAATAGGGGTTTTTTGTTCTTCTAAACGAAGACCATTTCCTCTAAAGTAAGATAGCTTTCTGATCTTCTCTGACTAAAAGTGTTAAGGAAGGCCTTCTCTAAGTGACGTCCTACTGATCCTCCCTAACATACAACCTACTAATATTTCCTTAAAGAAAATATATGGAAAATCTTGCATTTCACTTGGGAATACGTTCTGGCCTTTTCAAAAGGAAGACCTTCTGATTCATAAGAACACTATCTGGATATTCAACAGAACAACTTGTGGTCATCCTAGATTTTCTCCTAGTCTTCTGACTAAAAAAATCTCTGGTATTTTATAATATGACCTCCGAGTCTTCTATAAGAAGACCATATTGTCTTCTGATTTTTATTTCTTTTATAAGAAAATCCCTTTTGGTCTTCTGGTCTATATCAAACCTCTGGAACTTCTATAAGAAGATGTTCGAGACTTTTATAAGAAGACCACCTAGTCTTCTACACCTTCCTGTCTTCTATAAGAGGGACTTTGGGTTATCCATATGAAAAAAACTTGTGGGCTTCTATAAGAAGAAGAACTACTGATATTTTATAAGACGACATTCTACTTGTCTTCTATAAGAATTCCTTCTGGTCTTTTATAATAATTATTTATTGTATTCTATAAGAAGGTCTTCTATTTTTCGTCATCTAAAAAACGACCTTCTAGTCTCCGACAAGAAGACTTTCTGGCCATTTATAAAAAGTCCTTCTGTTCTTCTATAAAAAGATTTGGATCTGGCCTTATTCTCGTCTTCTATAAAAACACTTCTGGTCTTTGATAAGAAGACATTCGGTTTTCTTCGGTTTTCTATAAGAAGACCTTCTGGGAATTGGGCCCCTTTTTTTCTACCAAATTGGCTGTAATTTTATTATTTAGATTCTCATGGGTTTTAAAATCTTCGTCCTTAAAATTATTTATGTTGGCTTAAGTTTCGGTGGCTTAAGTTAGCGGTATTTGAAATTGGTGTCATATTTAAGATTTCAGGCGTTTCACTAGAGAAATGATGGGGACGTGCTAGAAATATTTGACATATAGGACTAATTTTTTGTACTTGATCTATGTTCGAACAATGCTCGCCCGTTGGTCATAAACAATGTTTATATATAAAGTGGAGTATATATTAAATTTGTCATTCTGTTCCCTATCCCGCCTATCTGTCCGTTTGTTGGTATCACGATAGAGCTCGCATTATTCAATATAGAAACAAATATAATTTTATATTTTGGATTTCTCATTTTCATTCTAACAAAAAATTACTAAAATTGACCTAATGTCAGGGTAGATGCCATATAATAGTACCCCTTCATTATTTATTTATTTATTTTTTTTGCATTTTGTCACTTTTTTTTAAAGAAAATGGTTCTAAATTGAAAATTTGAGTTCTTCTACAAAAATTATCAATATCGGTACAAGTTTTGGTATAGCCCCCATATAAGGAAGCCCCCAATATTCGGTAATTTATTCCGAATTTTTAACCTAACCGCTTATAAAAGTCGCGATCGATTTTATATATATTGTATGCCTACCTCTTGGTGAAGGGTATGAACAGTTCGGTTGGCTAGAACCTAACACATTTTACTTATTTTTAAAATTTCCTCATTTCAAGACAAGATATTGGAAATTTAATAATTCCACTAAAACATATGTCCAGTCCGTTTTCTAGTTATAGTGAGCAGGGCAAAAAGTTAATTTTAAGCAATACTTCGAAGACTGTCATTAACAGCGAATTATGTTTCTTAACGTAATTTCTTATAAACTGTTTTTTAACGGATTTCAACTTTTCAAGAACATAAAATAAATTTACGTTCATATGTATGATTTTTATAACCAAATAATTTCATAAATTATTTTGTATGTCATAATTTTCTGACAGTCTGTTCCTAATTCAGACTTTAATATTTTAATATCTATGTATAATATCTATGACAAAATTAAATAATATTTTTTTATATTATGTTAATTATTGTCTAATATGCAAAATATTAGTTTAGTTGTATACTTTCTAAAAAAATAATTGTTGTTATTTAAAAAAGTATGTCAATTTTATATAGTCATTTTTGTATAATTATTCAGAACGTATAAATCGGCTAATAAGTGAATGCGTAGCTTAATTTGAATACCATCGAAGATAATAGATAATCGGAGGGATTCTTTATCGAATATTAGTGGATACACCTCTAATAGTCCTGCAGGTCTTCTCATAGAGCACCAGAATATTTTCACACAATAGACCATAGATTACTAGAAAATAATCTTCTAGAAAACTACAGGGTATTTTCATGGATTTTTCACAGAGGTTCAGAAGAAACAGAATGTAGAAAACAAAATGTCTTGAAATAAAAGACCTGATAATCTAGTCAGGAAACACCTTAAAGTGTTCTCATTGGAAATTAAGGTTAGTTCATGCGAGTCTAAACAGGTCCAAAAAAGAGAATATGTGTAATACAGAAGGCCTTCTTAAAATGTTCTTCAAAGTTTTATTAAGAAGATCAGAAAAACCTTTAAAGAGAAACATAAACTAAAAAAATGTTCTCATGGTGAAAATCCAGAGACTTTTCTCATAAAAGGTCAGAAGTTCTGTCCATAGAATATCAGAAAGAATTATCATAAAGGATTAGCAGACGTTTTCATAAAATGTTGAAGGTCTCAGACCAGAAGGACTAGCCATAGACGACTAGAAGATCTTCTCATAGAAGACCAGCAAGATTTCTTTGAGGCATTCAGAAGGAAAATCAAAAGATTTCCAATAGAAAGAAATGGAAATCAGAAGACCGATAGAACTTTTTTTATTTGTTTTATAGAGAGCTTTTTTTTATAGAAGATCATCTCCTATAAACATTTAAGAATGTTTTAATACATTTCTAGTTGAAGGTCTTACTCATTGTTATCATATGTTCTCATTAGAGACAAAAATGTCTTCTAACACTGTGACACAAAATGAAGCTCATGGTGGAAAATTCCTGATAAGAATGAAAGCCCTTGGCTAGTATATTTAGAACGCAGTAGGCTATTTCAAGTTATTTTAATATGAAAGGTCATATCAAGGCTTCAGTCAAATCGAATGAGGAATATTTTTGTAAAAAAATATCCTTCTTCTATTTCGAGTCGTTGAGCGACTTTTTCGCCCTTATTTTCTTGAATCGCAAACTAAATATTACAAGACGAATATTCTAATATTCTAAAAATATCTTCAAGTTTTTTGAAAGATTGTAGAAACTCGATTTCAAATCACCAACACTCACCTCAACAGTTTCAGGATCGAATAACATAACATATGGTGTCTGGCCCTGCCAGGCTTTATTCATGCCAATGCGCGTACCCCACATACGTTGCGAACCAGTAAGGCGGGAAAATAATTCTAAAAAAAAAAAAAAAAGCACAAAATTAATATTTCATGTATTACAATAAATTTTATAGAATTAATAAATTATGTATTATTATAATATAACAAAATTAATGACCTCTATTTAAAAACGTTGACTAGAAATTATGTAAATTCACAAAACAAAAATTAACATAATTTCTATGCGAATTTTGAATTTATGACCTTACAACATAAAAAATAAACAAAATTAATAATGGCCAACGAACTTTGTTGCCGAATTGTGTTGTAGCCTACTTCTTGGAAATAGATAAAGTAAATTCAAATATTTTATTTCTGTCTGGGGATTTTTTGAAATTTTTAATATGGCGCTATGTTTTATCTTAAGAATGGTATAATAATTTATGCTAAGAATTTCAATTCAATTTTTTATGTTCAATCTTTAACGGCTTCGCAACGGTAAAATAGTAAACGGCGTTTCATGTTGTTATGTGAGTAGACAATATTCTAATATTAGACATTATTTTTAGACAATGAAAGGTATCTACTTCATTTTTACATAAATACTTATGAAAAAATCTCCAAAACATTATGCGAATTTATAATGAGAAGAATTTTACATTTTTTACATATTAATCCGACAAGATGGAATTCTTCATATATCAAAAATGGTGTATTTTGGAAAAATGTTTTTGAAGAACAATTCATAGGCGTGGAATTTTTTGAAGCGCCAATTATAGGCATGGATTTTTTGAAATAATGTTTTTTTGAAACGCCAATTATAGGCGGTTATTTTTTGAAACGATATTTTTTGAAGCGTCTATTATAGTTTTGGAGTTTTTGAAGCAATATTTTTTGAAGCTCCAATTATAGGCGTGGATTTTTTAAATAAAAATATTTCTTAAGTTCTATCCATAAGTGTAATTTTTTGTAAATATTTTATTTTTATTTATATTCTGGTAGTTCCCATATAACGGTACCCGAAAATCTTCGGCATTTTAGAGGTTTTGGTCCGACCACAATGAATATAATTTAGTATTTAGTTTTTGGGTAGCCCCCATATAAGAGTACACCCCAATTTTCAGTATTTTGGGGTTCTTGAGCGCGAATTTGGTATTGTGTAATCGTATATGGTAAAAAAATCTGCCTACCAAACATTATTAATATTCACCCCCTTTTAGGGGTAGTCCCCATATAACAACCTGTTTGTACCCTTCAACTCACTGTGGTACAGGTTATTATGTCTTTGTGCATATGTTTGTAACAGGCAAAAGGAAACGATATAGACACATGGTTCCTTTTGAGAATATTCATAGAATCACTTTTTAAGTCGATTTATGCATTTAAGTCCGTCCGTCCATCTGTCTGTCCATGTTAAATTGTAAACAAAGTACAGGTCGCATTTTTGATTCGAATTGGATGAAATTTGGCACAGCTCATTTATTTGGCCCAAGGACGAACCCTATTGAAATTAGGAAATCGGTTCAGATTTAGCTATAGCTCCCATATATATTGTCGTCCGATTTTATGTAAATGGTGCCTCAAAGCCCCTATATATCTTTCTATTTGCACGAAATTTGGCATAGCGTACTGAATTAAGTCTAGAAAGATGTATGTTAAATTTCGTGAAAATCGGTTCAGATTTCGATATAACTCCGATATATATTTTCGTCCGATTTTATGTAAATAGTTCACCAAAGACCCTATATATCTTTCGATTTTCACGAAATTTGGCATAGCGTTCTGAATTGAGTCTAGAATGATCAGTGGTAAGTTTCGTGAAAACCGTTTGAGATTTAGATATAGCTCCCATATATATTTTCGTCCGATTTTATGTAGATAGTGCCTATATATCCTTCTTTTTGCACGAAATTTGGATTTATATGTAAATGAAGAACTCAAAATATGGCCGAATGTACAAAACACACTGAAATAAGTGTAACCTAACATGTAAGAAATTTCGATGAAATCGGTTTAGATTTCGATATTTTGTTTTAATTTACATATGTTTGTTCCGTGTGTTGGGGTTGTCCCCATATAGGCGTATTCTACAAAGTATGAAATTCTAGGACGATTTAGCCATCTGTTGTAATCATTCCGCCTTCTAAGGATATCGTGATAAAAAACTCTATCCTGGCGAAGGATAGCCTTGAGATACAGAACTAAAATATTAGGTTCGGTCAATAATTAGGCATAACCCCTCATATAATTATAACCCCAAATATTCACTAATTCTTAGCTATGTAATCAATATTGGTCTCCCTTTCGGCATAACCTCCCTTTCGGCATAACCACTCTAAATTCCAGTAGTTTAGGGATTTTATACACATGTTCCAATATCAGTCCACGTTTTGGGGTTTTCAGATTTTAGGAAAAATCCCCATTAAAAATCGCTGAAATTTGAGATACAGAACTAAAATATTAGGTTCGGTCAATAATTAGGCATAACCCCTCATATAATTATAACCCCAAATATTCACTAATTCTTAGCTATGTAATCAATATTGGTCTCCCTTTCGGCATAACCTCTTATAACTTTGCACTCTAAATTCAAGTAGTTTAGGGATTTTATACACATGTTCCAATATCAGTCCACGTTTTGGGGTTTTCAGATTTTAGGAAAAATCCCCATTAAAAATCGCTGAAATTTGAATTTAGTGAACATAATAGTATACATACATCGGTTTGTAGAATTGTCGGTATAGGTCCACATTTTGTTAAGTTCCCTATATTTTCATTGCAAGTCTCTGTCAGTATACCTATGGTGCAGGGTATGCAAAGTTTGGACCGGCCGAATTTAACGCTTTTTTCACTTGTTAATATTGTATTTAAAAGATTATAAACTAAAAAATATAATTCTACCCTTAATCGTAGAATTAAAAAAATCATACTTTGGACGCACTATTTATGAGTGTAGATGTTTAAAGAACTATCCATAAGCGTGGACTTTTTAAAACTGTCCATAAAATGTGTTTCTGATAATTTCTATAGTCTACAGATTAGAAAAACTATATGGCTTCACCTATCCCTCTGTAATCCTAAACTACCATTTAAGTGTTTTTAATTTTTATGGAGCCTGCAGCAAATTACCCCACCCCACCGAACTTGACATCATTTTGAACTCATAAATTGATATTTATCATGAATGCTAATTGAATTACGGTATGCAATTACAAATTCATCGAACAAAAATGTTCCCATGCATTTGGGACTCTTCTCAAAATTCTATGCCATCAGCAAAAAAAAAAATATTTATTCTAACAAAATGACTAAACATAGTTTCCATGCAATTTCCGATAAAAACAAAGTGTGAAGAGAAACAAAAATTAAAATGTCATTAGACAAGTGAATAAAATCACAAAAATATTCTCAAGAAACTGAATTTCAGGTTATTAGCAATGGCAACAAAACTTTATTTGCAAAAAAACTAAATTGTTTGATGATAGTTATGAACAAAACAAATGAACAATTGTTTGTTGCTTTGATGACTTGCTAGTTCTCCCCCATATGCTGTGAATCTAAGCAAAACCAAAAAAATCGCAATATTCTAAGCCATAAATGAGTGCCAAAATACGAACAATTATGACCTTGGTTCTAACACTGTTTATTAAGGCCCCAAACTACTAGGGGAGCATTAAAAACCAAAATTACCACATAAATAAGATTTGTTTATTATTTTAGGTGTTTAAAAGATTTTTGTGTTATGTCATTGCCTCAAAAACTTTATTGGGGAGGTACTTGAAGTGTTCAAAAAAGAAGAAAAAAATCTAAAGAAAACCTCTAGTGCATTTAAAATCAAATTCACAATTATTATGATTTCTAAAAGGGAGGTGAAGGGAGGTCGTTGTTGTGGTATTCTAATATGATTAGAACATTTTGTGTTGATTCTCCTCTCCAACATCTATGACATTTTCTGCTTAAGTCAGTTTTTGAATTCAAGAATTCTTTTCCAAACCACAAAATTATGTTTGTGGTCGGCCATGTTTGCCTTGAACTCCATCTGTGGTGGTAATAGTTGTTAACGGCTGCTGCAACTACCAAACAAACAACCATCAGGCAAATGTGTTTCATGTTTGTGTTCTAAGTCTTTCGTTTTTTGGATTTACAAAAATAAACCTGCCTCCAAAACAAGTGCCTAATTTTTTTGTTTGCATCTTTTTTCTCTCTCATTTTTAGTAATCAAACTCACTTGACCAAAAAATAGTTGTTCTTTATTTATTTATTTTTTGGTGTTTGCCTTATTTTCGTTACAATTCATTGACCGCAAATTGAGGCAGTGTCAACTTGTCTCAAATTGAATCAAAACAAAAACCCAATACGAATGTCAATACCATGAAATTTTCGAAATGGTGAGTAATAAAAACCGAAATTAAAATAAACCAGTGAGCGGAGCAGTATAGTCGGACGGGGCCGACCATACGATACCCTACACAACTACCACGAACTCTAACTTTCTGAGGATGTTTATTCCGAGTCGGAGTAATATTTCGTGATATTTGCCCCCTCTTGTCCGATTAGAGGTTAACAACACCTCTTCCTTACTTTTTTCGAATATTCAGTACAGTCCTTCTAATTACTTGTCCAGATTACCTTCACGGTTGGTTATGTTGTGATTTTCGGATTATACTCTACTCGAAAACACACAAAAAATTATGTTTTCGGTCCATTTCATCCCAAAATTTTAATCTGATCATCACCGAAAATTGTAGGCGTTGTTCTTGACCATAACTGGAACTTCATGAAAAATTTCAAAGCCATCAGCGCGATATTTCTCCCTCTAATGTGGTAATGGGTTACTAAATAATATCTGAATACGTAAGCACCTGTAAATATTTGACTGTAACTCCCACATCTGAGTAGATACATCACTATATTTGGTATCAATTTAAACGCCAACCACTCCTCTTGGATATGCTATCAACTCCTGGGGTCTACATTCTCCAGGAGTAAATATATATGTCATAGAATACAAATTTTGTAATTTTTCACACAAAAGTCAGGGTCCATTTGACCCGCTAAATATTGACCGATCTTTA